CTGACGTCATCAAACACAATTTACCTAAGCGTAAATCTTTTCTCTTTTGCATTGTACTGTAATCAATACTGTTGTCAAGGTTCCTCCCCCACTCTGAACTCTAGGGTACAGATGTGGGGACCTGCATGAAAACCTCCTAAGCTTACTTTTACCAGCTTAGGTTAAAACTTCCCCAAGGTACAAATTAATTTTATCCTTTGTCCTTGGAATAACCACTGCCACCACCAAACTCTAACTGGGTTTACTGGGAAACGTAGTTTGGACATGTCTTTCCCCCCCAAATCCTCCCAACCCTTGCACCCCACTTCCTGGGAAAGGTTTGGTAAAAATCCTCACCAATTTGCATAGGTGACCACAGACCCAAACCCTTGGATCTGAGAACAATGAAAAAGCATTCAGTTTTCTTACAAGAAGACTTTTAATAGAAATAGAAGTAAATAGGAGTAAAGGAATCACCCCTGTAAAATCAGGATGGTAGGTACCTTACAGGGTAATTAGATTCAAAACATAGAGAATCCCTCTAGGCAAAACCTTAAGTTACAAAAAAGACACACAGACAGAAATAGTCATTCTATTCAGCACAATTCTTTTCTCAGCCATTTAAAGAAATCATAATCTAATGCATACCTAGCTAGATTACTTACTAAAAGTTCTAAGACTCCATTCCTGTTCTATCCCCGGCAAAGCAGCATACCAACAGACACAGACCCTTTGTTTCTCTCCCTCCTCCCAGCTTTTGAAAGTATCTTGTCTCCTCATTGGTCATTTTGGTCAGGTGCCAGCGAGGTTACCTTTAGCTTCTTAACCCTTTACAGGTGAGAGGATTTTTCCTCTGGCCAGGAGGGATTTTAAAGGCGTTTACTCTTCCCTTTACATTTATGACAACTGTAAACAAACATCTATTATTGAAAAGAATCCACAAAGTCTGGACAGATCTAATTGACCCACTAGCTGGGCAGAGAGGGAGAATGTTTGGACCTTAACCTGCAGAAAACAGCAAACCTCTTTTCTCACTTCACAAGTCATGGATACTATAGCACTGGGCTGTGACCTTAGGTGTCCTTGGGAGTTTCAGGTTGTAGTATGTGGATGAGCACCTTATTGACATGCTGGCGCCTGTGAGAGGGGTCCACTGCAGAGGAAACGAAGTACAAGATCTGTTCAGTATACGATACAGGTTGCCTTTCTTTGCAAGGGAATTCAGAGTTTAGGACTTTACTCCAAAACCATAGCGATTTTAACCTCAAAGACTCATAGACTTTGAGGCAAGAAGGGACCATCGTGATCATCGAATCTGACCTGCACACTGCAGGCCACAGAACCTCACCCACCCACTCCTGTAATAGAGCCATAACCTCTGCCTGAGTTACTGAACTCCTCAAATCATGATTTAAAGACTTCAAGTTACAGAGAATCCACCATTTACACTAGTTTAAACCTGCAGGTAACCTGTGCCCCATGCTGCAGAGGAAGGCAACCTTCCCCCCCGAACACCAGGATCTCTGCCAATCTGACCAGGGGGAAAAATCCTTGCTGACACCAAATTTGGCTGTCAGTTGGATCCTAAGCATGTCAGCATGACACCTGGCAAAGAATACTCTGAAGTAACTCAGAGGTCTCCCCATCTAGTGTCCCACCTCTGGCTGCTGGGGATATTTGCTCCTGGCAGTCACAGATAGACCACATGATGTTGTAGGCAATGTCATCAGACCATTCCTTCCATAAACTTATCAAGCTCAATCTTGAAGCCAGTTGTTTGCTCCATTGTTCCCCTTGGAAGGCTTTTCCAGAACTTCACTCCTCTGCTGGTTAGAATTAGGGGTGTCAAGCGATTAAAAAAATTAATTGCGATTAATAAAAGCGATTAATCACACTGTTAAACAATAATAGAATACCATTTATTTAAATATTTTTGGATGTTTTCTACATTTTTCAAATATATTGATTTCAATTACAACACAGAATACAAAATGTACCGTGCTCACTTTATATTTATTTTTGATTACAAGTATTCGCACTGTCAAAACCAAAAAATAGTATTTTTTAATTCACCTAATACAAATACTATAGTGCAGTGGTTCCCAAACTTGTTCCGCCGCTTGTGCAGGGAAAGCCCCTGCCAGGCCAGGCTGTTTACCTGCCACGTCCTCAGGTTCGGCGGATTGCAGCTGGAAGCGGCGGCCAGTAAGTCCCTCAGCCCACGCTACTTCCAGCAGCTCCCATTGGCCTGGAGCGGCGAACCGCGGCCACTGGCAGCGGCGATCGGCTGAACCTGTGGACGTGGCAGGTAAACAAACTGGCCCGGCCCGACAGGGGCTTACCCTGAACAAGTGGCGGAAGAAGTTTGGGAACCACTGCTACAGTACAATCTCTTTATCATGAAAGTTGAACTTACAAATGTAGAATTGTGTACAAAAAGAACTGCACTGAAAAATAAAACAATGTACAATTTTAGAGCCTGCAAGTCAACTCAGTTTTACTGCTTGTTCAGGCAATCACAAAGACAAACAAGTTTGTTTACATTAGCAGGAGATAATGCTGCATGCTTCTTATTTAGTGTCACCTGAAAGTGAGAACAGGCGTTCTCATGGCACTATTGTAGCCAGCGTCACAAGATATTTACGTGCCAGGTGCACTAAAGATTCGTATGTCCCTTCAATCTTCAACCACCATTGCAGGGGACATGCATCCATGCTGATGACAGGTTCTACTCAATAACAATCCAAAGCAGCTTTCTTTTTTGGTGGTTTGGGTTCTGTAGTTTCCACATCAGAGTGTTGCTCTTTTAAAACTTCTGAGAGCATGCTCATGCCTCTCAGATTTTGGAAGGCACTTCAGATTCTTAAACCTTGGGTCGAGTGCTGTAGCTCTCTTTAGAAATCTCACATTGGTACCTCCTTTGTGTTTTGTCAAATCTGCAGTGAAAGTGTTCTTAAAACGAACAACATGTGCTGAGTCATCATCTGAGACTGCTATAACATGAAATATATGGCAGACTGCAGGTAAAACAGAGCAGGGGACATACAATTCTCCGCCCAGGAGTTCAATCACAAATTTAATTAACACTTTTTTTTAACGAACATCATCAGCATGGAAGCATGTCCTCTAGAATGATGGCCGAAGCATGAAGGGGCAAATGAATGTTTAGCCTATTTGGCACGTAAATGCCTTGTAATACCAGCTACAAAAGTGCCATGCAAATGCCTGTTCTCACTTTCTGGTGACATTATAAATAAGAAGAGGGAGCATTATCTCCTGTAAATGTAAACAAACCTGTTTGTCTTAGCGATTGGCTGAACAAGAAGTAGGACTTAGTGGACTTGTAGGCTCTGAAGTTGTACATTGTTTTGTTTTTGAGTGCAGTTATGTAACAGAAAATTTCTACATTTGTAAGTTGCACTTTCACAACAAAGAGATTGCACTGCAGTACTTGTATGAGGTGAACTGAAAAATACTGTTTCTTTTGTTTATAATTTTATGGAACTATTTAGAATAATAAATAATATACACTTCGATTTCAATTAAAATGCAGAATACAATATATCTGAAAATGTAGAAAAACATCAAATATATCTGATAAATTTCAATTGGTATTCTATTGTTTAACAGTGTGATTAAAACCGAGATTAATCGCGATTAATTTTTTAAATCGTGATTAATTTTGTGAGTTAATGTGTGAGTTAACTGCACTTAATCGACAGCCTTAGTTAGAAGCCTTCATCAAATTTCAAGCCTGAACTTGTTGATGGTCAGTTTTTATCGATTTGTTCTTGTGTCCACACTGGTGCTTAATTTAAATAATCCCTTTCCCTCCCTGGTATTTTCCCTCTTATGTGTTTATAGACAGCATTCATATCTCCCCTCAGCCTGCATTTGGTTAGGCTAAACAAGCTAAGTTCCTTTAATCTCCTCTCATAAGGTAGGTTTTCCATTCCTCTGAACACTTCAGTAGCCCCCAGGGGAGGAGGAGGAGGAGCTGGAGCGTGGGGTGAGGGGAGCTTGGCTGTCAGTGGGTGCAGAGCACCCACTAATTTTTCCCCGTGGGTGCTCCAGCCCCCGGAGCACCCATGGAGTCAGTGGCTATGCTCATATTGGCAATACCTCCCAACTTTGTGTCATCCACAAATTTTATTAGCACACTTCCACTTTTTGTGCCAAGGTCATTACTGAAACTGTTGAATTAGATTTGTCCCAAGACTGATCCCTGAGGAACTCCACTAGTAACCTCCCTCCAGCCTGACAAGTTCACCTTTCAGTCTGATCCATTGTAGTCTCCCCTTTAACCAGCTCCTTAACCACCTTTCAATTCTCATATTAATCCCCATCTTCTCCAATTTAACTAATAATTTCCCATCTGGAACTGTATCAAATGCCTTACTGAAATCCAGGTAGATTAGATTTAGCGCATTTCCTTTGTCTAAAAAATCAGTTATCATCTCAAAGAAAGAGATCAGGTTGGTCTGGCATGATCTACCTTTTGTAAATCCATGTTGTATTTTACCCCAATTACTCTTTACCTCTATGGCCTTAACTATTTTCTCTCTCAAAATTTGTTCAAAGACCTTGCATACAATTGAGGTCAAACTAACAGGCATTTAGTTTCCTGGGTCACTTTTTTTCCTTTCTTAAAAATAGGTAATATATTTGCAATTCTCCAGTCATAGGATCTGACCCCCGAATTCACAGATTCATTAACAATCCTTGCTATTGGGCTTGCAATTTCATGTGAAGAAAACTGGCCAATAAACTACTTTGGTTTGTGGCCCATTTTTAGCCATTCTTGTGATTTTAGCCATTCTTGCTACTTGGTTGTAAATTAAATGACTTCAATCCATGCTATACTTACAGTATCAAAATATTTACCCTAGAACTGACGAGAGCATATTATGATGAGAGTAGGATTTTCCTTTATTTATACCTTAACAAAAAATGCAACAGGATCCCTCTGTCACATTTCCTTCTTTTTATCTTTATTGCCTCCTGATGCACTAGAGTCTTACCTGTCACAGCTGGAGCACAGAAAGATGAGGAAAGTAAGGAATAAGAGTGTTGTCACAGCTGCCAAACTTCCCCACACAATGACATGAAGTTGTCCACTGCTTAGGAAACCACCGTCAGGTCCCATGATATTAATAGGAGCTGGTGTAATTTAAGGATGAAGGGATTAATCCTTGGAGAATGCTGGCATCTGTGGTGAAAGCACCTTCTCTTTCTGCAAAGAGAACAATGTTTTTAGAAATTGTTATGGATTTTGAAGATAGACTGACAATTACAGGTCTGACAAAAGAGATCTTCAAATATAGTCTACAAAGACTAAACATGCTCAGTTTATAGAAAACTTGACCCATGAGGAAAGGTTAAAAAACAGTACATGTTTAATTTTGAGAAAAGACTGAGGGAGGACCTGATAACAGTCTTCAAATATGGTAAGCGCTATTATACAGAGGACTGATCAGTTGTTCTCCATGTCCACTGAAGGTAGGACAAGAAGTAATGGGCCTAATCTGCAGCAAGGGAAATTTAGATTCGATATTAGGTAAAACTTTCTAACCATACAGGTAGTTGAACTCTGGAATAGGCTTCCAAGGGAGATTATGGACTCCCCAATCATAGGAGGTTTTTAAGAACAGATTGAACAAACAACTGCCAGGGATGGTCCAGGTTTACTTGTTCCTGCCACAGTGCAGGGGGCTGGACTAGATGACCTCTCGAGGTCCCTTCCAGCCCTACACTTGTATGATTCTATAAAAAACTGTTCTAAGAACAGGAAGACTAACAAAAATACATCTTCAGTAAGCTCCTGATACTAACATAGAAAAAACCTGTCAAATATTAACAGAAATGATCAAATATCAACAATCTTCAAGTAGATGAAAGTAGCATAATCTCAGTACTTGTATTTTGGAAAAAATAGCCCCAAATGTCAATTGCCAGGTACCAAAGCAGTCCATTCTCCATCTATAATTGTTAATAATGATTTTAGTAAGTGCATTTTCAAACACAATGAAAAATTCTGCAAAGTTGCCAAGAAAAAAAATGGTTTATATGGCACCTCCTCACTTCCCAGTTCTCAGCGTCTGCTGCCTGCATGGGACCATCTGTTAAATAAGTAGAGCTGTATGCATAGCTGGTTTTTTTTGGTTTAAGGGCTGAACTGAACATTAATTAAAAAATTGTTTCAGGTCAACCCAAAATTATAATTTTTCAGCAAACTGAGAAAGTCAAAAATATTTTGTTTCTGGGTTGAATGAAACATTTTGTTTGACTTGAAATAAAACATTTCAATTTGCTTTAAGTTTTTAATTGCTTTTTAAGTTTTTTAAAACAAAACTGAAGTAAAATTTTAAATGAGTCATTTTGAATCAAAAAGTCAAAATATTTTACCTTTTTTGAAATATTTATTTTGTTTCATTTTTGACATAAACCATTAAGTGAATTTGACATGAAGTCGCAAAATGTTCCAGTCAACCCAAACCTGCATTTTTCAGTAAAAAAAGCTTTTGTCTGAAAAATTCTGCCCAGCTCTAATGTCAAACAAGCAAGGTAAATCTAAATGGAATATCATAAAACACTTCCTGCATAGGGATTATAATTAGAGTTAATTTTCTCTGTGTAAAACGTTATTACTTTTATTGGACTGCCTTGGGCTCAAGAATAATAAAACTGAATTCAAAATTATTTTCGAGCTTAGCAGAAACTCAAGAATAACACAGAAGAGATGAGATGGGGCTTTCCCCTCCAACTACCTGAATCAACAATACTTTTGCTACACAAGAGCCTATAAATCAAATTATTTTGTTCATTGCGGGAGCCCTTGAGACATGGTTCAGTCTAATGCCATTTGTATATTGTAAAGTTTTTCTTTGGTATTCAAAACAGTTTTTTTTTAAATGGATTACATTATGCCATCATAATTTCAAAACAGGATATGCACAGTTAATTTATAACCTGGCAAACAGTTCAAGATGAGGAAACATGATGATGAGCTATAACACTTAGAAAAAGGTCAATGATGTTTCTCTGTCAGCATGAAAACATAACAATAAAGAACAAGGGCTGGATGTAGCTCAGTGAAGAACTGAGAATTGATCCCGTCTTATAAATATTTCCGAAGCAGCAGTGCACTCATTAGCTGCAATCTCAATTAGCTACTACACTACAGTTCTGCAAAACCACACTATTATGCCAGTGCAGAACCCTCAACCAAAGATTCATCTCCCAGAAAAGACCATTCACATCAAAGGAAATATACTACAGGGGTTAGAAAGATCAGAGTAGCAGGAGGAACGTAGGGTAGGAAGGGAATCTGCATTGCACATTGTCCTGGTATTTTTTCCCCCTAAGGAGCTGGATAAAGCCCACATTAAAAAGGGCTTTTCCCTGGGTGGACTGAGGTGCAGAATCCATAGCTCCAACCAACCCAAGCATCCATGTACTCACATTGTGGCCAGTCAGAAGAACAGTAAAAACCATGCTGACTCCTAAGGAGATGCGGCATTGCTTGTGGACCCACTTAACATGCCCTGAACAGACACAGTCCAGGAAAAAAGTCACCACAGAGCTGTGCTCCATCATGTGCAAGGACATACAAGTCCCCTTGTGCTTGCCCTTTGTTATCTGTCCACCCAATAATTTCTACTGAATTTGGGGCCATCTCTCTCTGTACAGGGAGCCACACCCATTGCTGGTCATCATTGATCTCAGGAACTGTTATTTCTTTTGGATCTCCTATGAGATAGCAAGATTGAGCCTTTGATGAAGATGGCCTTTGTTGTTGGTGGAAAGGTAAGGGCAGAAAAGTAGACTTTCAAATTTTCAAGATTATGAAAGGGTTCAATAAAGCTGATGAGATAAATTTTTTTTCATAAAAGCAAGGGATTCAAACACTAGGGGGACATAACATCAAAATGATAAGAATGGTAATAACGTGAACAGCTTATAGATATGTGATAGCAGGCATATTGGACAATAGTTCTTTAGATCTTCATGACTGCTCTTCTTGTACAGCAGAATGGTGTTGGACTCCTTCCAGCTAGATGGTGTCTTCTGCATTTCCAAGTAACAGCTAAACCTCTTAGCAAGGGTTTCCCAGAGGTCTTGGCCTCCAGCTCTTATCATTTCAATTGTCAGTCCATCTTTACCTGGAGCTTTTCCCTCCTTCATTTGGTGAACTGCAGGTCAGACTTCGCTGACAAGGACTGGGAGTAAATGCTTGTTGGTCTGTTGAAGTGTTGGTACTGGGACATTTATCTGAGATGCGAACAGTTCAGTTTAAAAATTTTTGCAGACTGCTTCCATCTCTGTTCTGTCAATCACTGGTTTTCCGTCCCTGTTCTTCAGGGCCATTACTGTTGACCTGTACAGCGTCAATTCTTTTTTGCATTTTTTGAGGCTTCTGCGATCTTCAGTCGTCTTTAAAGGCCTTTCATTTTGGTACTTCTCGAAGTCCTCTTTTAGTCTTCTTCTTATCAACTTGCAGAGGACGGAGTACTCAAGTTTGTCACCATCATTTCGCTTCATATTCCTCCACTTCTCTAGCATTTAGAGCATTTCCTCCGAGATTCTTCCCTTCACTCTTTTCAGTCTTTCTTTCTCGGCTAATTTCACACATTGCCTCAACTTATCAGTGAAGTTTTTATAATTCTCATCGCAGTTATGTGTAAGGCTCCAGTCTTCCTTGGAAATGTCTGCTTTCAAGATTGCCTCGTCGGATATTTTTGGCTGCTGTCTCTGATTTGCCATCTGTAGCAACTGAGTCCTCAGTGAAGTGATCAGACAGCAGAGTGGAGTGCAGGACGTTGTCCTTGAGAGCAGGCATAGTAAAATGTGATGGGCTGGGCATATAGTGAGGCTCACTGACAATCGATGGACTGCAGCTGTTGCCAAGTGGTACCCATGGGAACTGAAACGACCACTCAGCTGACCTCCAAAAAGACGGGAAGATTTTATTGTGAAAAGACATGGCTGCACATGGAGAAGGAAGGCCAGGATACGAGAAGAATGAAAGACGTGTTGTGATCTGTGCAATCTATATGAGGGCTTAAGGACCAAGGATCAAGGTGACCAAGGTAATAAGGAGATAATTCACATAGGGCTTGATCCTGCTCCTGTTGAAATCAATGACAAAAGTCCCATTGATTTCAGTGGTGCAGGAAAATTAGGCCCATAAAGGGGAATAAATACTCAGGACATTCTACTAGGGGATTCATATTTACTCTGTTCAATTGCAACACATTTGTTTTGGGAGAAAAAGGGTAGTGAGAGAGAAGTCACAAAAGACATGAGGTGGGTCAAGTTGATAAAGTGGATGAGGTTCAAAGAAGAGCAATAGAAATTATTGTGGCCCTAAAAGGCCTGACTTTGAGGTGGAGTTTTATATCTGTAGCTTGGCCACAAGACAAAAAAGTGGAGACAAACTAAAAATATTTAAAGCTGTGAATACAAAGGATGCTGAGGAGTTAGTGTGATACGTGGATATAATGAAGAGTAATGGAATGAAACTGAGACAGGAAAAAATTAGGCTAAATGTCAGAAAATAATTATCTGGTAGTTACAGCCCTTCACGGATACAAAATTTGTATGCACATCTGTGACCCGCACACATGTAAAGTAATGCACATGGGAAAAAATAACGCCAACTATACACACAATATGATGGGGGCTAATTTAGCTACAACTAATCAGGAGAAAGATCTTGGAGTCATCGTGGATAGTTCTCTGAAGACGTCCACGCAGTGTGCAGCGGCAGTCAAAAAAGCAAACAGGATGTTAGGAATAATTAAAAAAGGGATAGAGAATAAGACAGAGAATATCTTATTGACCTTATATAAATCCATGGTATGCCCACATCTTGAATACTGCATACAGATGTGGTCCCCTCATCTCTAAAAAGATACACTGGCATTAGAAAAAGTTCAGAAAAGGGCAACTAAAATGATTAGGGGTTTGGAACGGGTCCCATATGAGGAAAGATTAAAGAGTCTAGGACTTTTCAGCTTGGAAAAGAGGAGACTAAGGGGGGATATGATAGAGGTATATAAAATCATGAGTGGTGTGGAGAAAGTGAATAAGGAAAAGTTATTTACTTGTTCTCATAATATAAGAACTAGGGGCCACCAAATGAAATTAATGGGTAGCAGGTTTAAAACAAATAAAAGGAAGTTCTTCTTCACTCAGCGCAGAGTCAACCTGTGGAACTCCTTGCCTGAGGAG